AAAATCATATACTTTTGTGGGGTGAATTTTTCGTGGTTTTAAAAGAATAAACTGTTTCGTGAACACTTCACTTTGTGGGTTGATATAGCATAATAAATTATCCTATCAAAAGTGTAACATTTCACGGACACGTAAATTCGTGAATTAAGAGTAATCACGAAGTCAGCGAAAACAATAACTCATTGAAAATAAGAATTTTACAGTATCATGTGTCAAAATTTCCTTTTTTCAAGTGGTAAGTGAACTAGTCTGTAAATCAAATATGTAAGCGTATCCTTTTAATTTATATGAAATTATCTAACACCATAGTTTAATGTTTGTTATATATAGGTCAATTTGGTGTATTAAAGAAACATGTTTGAAGCATGTCTTACTGGTATTACTGAAGGCTACAGGAAATACCATAGTCGCTCGAAGCTAAATAATGAGTATGCGTGGCGGTTACGTTGGTACGTTTGCTCATACCTGAAGGCGCTTACCCCTCTGGAACTCTTTGTCCTATTCTCTATGTGCTCTTATAATGGTGTCTTTTGGTCATTATTTGCCTCCGTTGATATCATCATAATGTCTTCCTTTCGAAGCTGTTACTGATTTTGGCTTATCAGTTAATATCACTCCTTCCTAGCAGTGATGCCTATAGTGTTAATCACTAGTTTTCGCTAAACGATAACTACATGTTAGTTCTTAATATCACTTTCATCATATTGCTCCATTTCATATTTAAACCAGATCATAACAACTTTATGTGAAATCACGTGACACTTGAAATTACGTAACCTGCATGTTTAATTCCATTCATTTAAACAACGGCGCGAGTCAGAATGTACACATGTATTTGTTCTTCTGAAATTACCTGTTATATGGAAACTAGGAAAAGTAATGAATTATGGAACTTGCGCACATCCACATCTTAATTTTGACATTTTGCATATACGTACACTATGATATTGACAAACTTAGACAGGTTATAAAATATTTTATTTTTATACTTTTTAATATAGACTTAAACATGATCGACAATCTCTAGACTTAGTCAGGTTCCACTAATTTACTCGAGATATACTAATGGACGTTCAACTGAAAGAAACCGGTCATCGCCCTGCTCATAGGTACAGCTAATATGTTCCTTCTATCTACCACATAACAGATACAGTTCTATTGACAACAACGTTGTATACAATCATATTCATACAAAACAAAAATAGAAACCTCAATGTGGCACGTTTCATGGTATTGGATATATAAACAAAACGTTTTCGTGACCCGTGTATTAGTACCAGATCAATGTTTTCAAGATCGTTCTGATGTTTTTTTTACGTTTTGTAAGGTTTCCGAAATCTTGTCGGTCGCGCCTTGCAGTTTGAGACAGTTACGTTTTGTTTGAGTCGCGGACTGTGAGATAAGATTAACAGCCATCTTGTTTACAGCCTCATTTAAATCCCCCCTCCCCCCGCCTTTTGTTCACGGAATTCTCCCTCTCTTTATTGGTGTTCCGTCTTGTAGGATTTTGCCTTTTCTTATCTTAGTCCAATGAGGTTCTTAACTTGAAATAAACTCAGAATCTGCCGCATTTTTCGACTGAAATTTTATCAGGTCGTTTGCTGTTTTGCTAGGTTTCTAGAAGTCGTGTCGTTTGTGAAGATCATCCGTGATACACTCATAACAGACCAGCATGGAATCACACGTGGCACATACCGCTGTAATCGGGAAACCCGGATGTTTTACACATTCCTTCATGTATATTTGATTAATTACAGAATTAAGAAGTGGTCGTTCAGAAATACCTGATAGTCTTCGAATAGTGTGCACATCTCAATCGTTTCCTGAGTCTGATGTACCAAAATAAATCCGGATGAAGGCAAATACATATGTTTCTAGAAGAATTTAATCGAAACTTAATACATTTCTCCTTTACATGATAGTACATGTCCCGTCATAGGTACATTGGAAACTAATACCATGTTGACGAATTTCTCGGTAAGAATTTTACTTCCTCATACAATATACCTAGAACATTGTGGTATTTATAGCTCTCTGATATAGCTTAGCCCGAATAACTGTAATCAAAGGCAGACATATTTGTGGTAGTCGGTTAAATGTATTTGGAAAACTCACATTTCTTTGAATGAATTTATCAGCTATATCTTAATTTAGGAAATCATTTAAGGACACTGGCGAGTCATTAACATACAGATTCAACATTATAATGAAGAAAGTGTGGTATTTCTATAACATCCCCCGAGATATTTACTTCGTAAACATTTATTATAAAAGCAGAAACAATAGATTAAAAACAAGTTACAACTTATATATCTGTCAAGTATTCTCACAGAAAGAGGAAAGTTAATAAAACAGGAAGGTGTCCCTTTGTATACTATATATCTATATTGCCTTATCAACAGACTGCAGTCATGCAGCATTTAAATCGTTTGTATCTAACTATGTAGTGATTTTTCAGGCTGATTATATCTGACCTGTGTACAAGGTGTATTGAATTGTGTAGGATGTAAAACTATAGACATGGTAACACAAGCTGGTGTTATTGTTCTGATTTTGTGACGTATATGTTGTGTACAGATGTTATACAACACTATTCAGGAATACTACATATGTATGTACCAGTAGAGCGGGGACAGAATGAACTGTTACAAGAATGTGATGTTAACGACACATACAGAAGGACAATATATATTACTGGTTCTTTGATTTACGGCTTGCGAACTGAATACAATTTTGACAAAACTATGTGCAGGTAAAACGAGGTTTTATTATATGACAGATTTGTACATTCAAATTTAAGCATGTAATCATTTGCATGATACAAATCTGATTGTGTAGAATCGTCATCTAATAAGTTGGAACCACTATATTACATATCCTGTGTGCAAGCAGAACTGGGTAACTTGATAACCCTGGAAGCAAAACCTTTTATATTATCCAATCATTTTAAAGAAGAAAAAAAACCTAGTCATATCTTAATATTATAATATTTTGAATTCGCAGTTTATTTATTTTCATCCTTAAAATTTACAAAAATACGTTTCATTTCGGTCCGGTTTAGTTACCCAGTCAAATTTTTACCCAAGTTCTTGTTTTCTATGCCTATTAATTTTAAATGAGGGGTTCCAGTCTTATCGTTTAGAGGAATGAATGGTATGTGAATTAGCATAAAAATAAAGAGCTTTGATTGATGTATCTATTTATCTGTTTATTTATGAAATATCATGTTACCAGGTGTTCGTTCTTCACTATCACGCCAAATTTCATTTTTAAGTGATGCATTCATTTTTCTGATAAGTGAAAAATTCTTGTTAAAAATAAAGAAAATTAAACACCCAACAAAACCATGATCTATACTTAAATTCAATAAGATTAAAAAAATAAAAGAAGAATAAGGTAATATATTCTGGGAGAATAAGTGTCTTCTGTTTCATCAACGATACCAGCCTTGTGAATCTTGGTCAAACAACGATTTTAAGCATTTGGTTGTTTACTGTTCTTGAGCGTCATATGTAGTGATGAAGTCTTATGGCGAGCAAAAATATACTATATATAAAACAGTGGAAATGGTTGAGGTTCTGCTTGACATTTTCGTTGATTGTGTCGTTCTCAGGCTGACTGACCTCTTCATAAGAGTTTATCATGTTAGGTATCACATTGTATGTATCCTTCAGTTCTTCAGGTCCGATTTAGAAATATTTATTACATTTCCTTTTAAGAAGAGACATGTTAATCAATTTCATCGAATATATTAACCAGAATTAGAAAGTAAGAATCATTATTTCGCTTTCCAAATCACGCAGGTACCTTTATTCAGATAACTAACACTGCGTACCCGAACTACGATGCAATAGTTGATTCAAGAAATAGTTATCAGCTTTTCTGTGCAAGATATCGACAACAGACAAAAACCGTTTAAAATGGGGTTGTGCTGCAGCACGAAGTGTTGCTTTAAGATATGATAAAATTAGAAAGCAGTGATTTCTATATTAATCAGAAAAAATATTATACATAATGGTATACTTCAATTCTTATTTCGAATAAGGTCAATATTTTATCAGATTGAATATGACCTTGACTAGTGAATACCTATACTGATATTGAAATGGATTGCTTAGCCTGTGAATGTCGAGATGAGAACATTCGGTTGCATTATACATTCATAGATGTCGATAAAAAAAAATTCGGTATATGAAAGCGTATTTGTATTTCATTAAAAAACGATAGGTGTTGCAATTGAATTGATCATTACCATGCGATTGAATAAGGATTTCTTTCCTTGTATTTAAGTTTCATATCTTCTAATAAATTCCAATATAGTCACTTGCTTGTCTTATGTCTTCTTCTATATGATGAAGCCTAACGATTATACACGTATAATCATATATATTATGTGCGATGATTAGCATCATGATACTCCAGGGGTTACGCCCACTATCGCTCTCTGCACCCCCGCTGCATTTTATGCCAAAAGTTTCAGGATAAAATAAAATTGACCAATCACAGGCTGGTACGTTCCTTTGAAGATTACAAAGGAGCGATACCAATCTGCAAAGCCAGTACAACATACCGTTAAATCACCTGATTCGTTTGATGTACATCAAAGGATTAAACAAGTCAACTCGTCTTACCCACAAGGTGTCGAATATGGCACCTTTAATTTTGTCATGTGGTCCAGGAATGCAGAAAGCGATAGTAAACAATAACTTGTTCGTATTGTGCATCCGACAATAGTACGGTAGAGAAGATAACAATTAAGAATAATCCGTCTTCTTCACAATTTTCTATCGTTTCTAAAATTCACACACAGGAAGTCACACTGTGACGTCATTCTCCTGTCATGTCACGTGATACAATAACCCGGTTGTTGTCCAGTTATTGGTCACATGCACTGCAAATAAACAAAATGTTAATTTATTTCAATGGCGACAGATTTATCGTCTTATTCTGATTCGTTATTTTTGTTATTGTTGATAAATAAAGTATATTTTCCAATTTGATTAGAGTAGCTTTATCGACAACAGGTAAATGTTGTATATATCTAGCCTAGTTTCTCAATATGTAACAATACATAGATGTAACAGATCTTGTTATATCAAACCTTGTACATTTTTTCAATAGGTATCGATACATACATGTAGGTAAAATAAAATTTTGGTATACATTACCTTGTATAATTTCAAATTATACCAATATGTACATTCATATATAATATTAACCTTGTAAAGATTCATAGTTCCGTCTCCACACCCCAGCCACATCTCGTCATCCGCCATGGCGATGGACATCGGTATAGATTCAAGTTTGGGTAGGAGGGTCTGCATAGGAACGCAATCTCTGGACAGCAGCTGGACACAGTTAGTGAACCCTTCACAGATAATTATATTACCTACTGAGTCAAAGATGAAATCATTGATGAAATAATTATCATTCGGTTTGTAGGTAGTGGTATCAAACTTGTATTCTCGAGACATGACATTGTGGTGCCCTAGATACCGTGACCTTAACGTCAGGTCTTTATTAAAAAGAACCAGGTGATTGTTGTCTTTTTCTGTAGCATTGATCACTCCTATACTGTCGCCTGTGTTACTGATTCTTACTCTACTTGGCCACAGAAACAGGGCATCACCCCGTCTGTCATACTGAGCCCGATCTTTCTCTCGGCCACAGGGAGAGTATCGTACCAGTACACTTTCGCTGTTGAAAGAATCTTTGTAATCAACACTACTCCTCAGTGTTACATAGAGATCTCTATTGGGCGCAGTACAGATATCTCTCGGCATCAACTTTCCAGTAGAGAAGAGTGAAGTGATCTCTCCATTCGACAGTGTAAACTGTTTAATATCTCTATCCTCCTCTCCACATATCAACAGTGTATTGTCATTAACAACAGTCATACCACGAACCACGACATCAAAAAATATTGTTTTCTCTACCTTACCATGTTTATGTGCCAGCGTTATTTCCCTCCCTCTATGACGTCTTATCCAAACTTTTCCATCGGCACCGAAACATATATTCGATACTGAAATTGATTTTGAATGTTTCAATGTCAACTCCAAGACAAGTTTCGTATTCAAACGAAGTAGATTACCAACGAAATCAGATTCTTTCTTCGTTGATAACGACATAATTCGTGGTGCTTGAGCTCCCTGTAACGATGGTTCTTTCTCCATATCGGCACTGATACCCCCGAACATGAGCTCTAACTGACTGGTATTTATTTTTCCTGGAATAAACTCAATTGTTTCCAGTTCCGGTAAAGGTTTCGTTTGTACGTCAATATCTTTTAGCTTCTGTGACCTCTCTATCACACATAGATCATCTTTGCTGTCAATGAGATATTTTACTTCCTCTCTGTGTCGTCTCATGTTTTCCAGTTTTGCAGAGATATCATCGGAGACGTTTTGTAGTTTAACATAGTTACGTTGGAATTGAGTCTCGGATTGTGATATAAAGTTATCAGCCATCTTAGCAACAGATTCAATTATTTCCTCTCTGCTGTTGTTTATTCTTTTGATTATTTTGTTTTGGTTGTGTTCTTGTTGTGATTTTAGCTTCTGTGCCTCATCCAAGTCCACCTCTAAGCAGGACATCAATACAGATACTGTCTCCTCTTGTTTCTGTAGCTTTATTTTGATGTTATTTGCACTTGTTTTTGGTTTCTCGAAGACATGAGATTTGTGTTGCTCGTCCGCCATACAATCCACACAGACTAGTGTGGAATCACACGTGACACAGACCGAAATGATCTTATTACCCGGATGTTTTACACATTCCATATTTGATGTTGATACGTCAGTCATAAAGTGTTTAGATCTATCAGGTATGATCCCCAATTAATGTACACATCAACAACTGGGTATTTCCGGTAACTTCTTACATTGGAAACACTTCCTGTATCGTGTTTATATCCACATACATCACCGTTTCTAATCATAACAAGCTACATCGATATCAGAGCCATCCTGGCAGCATTCTCATCTGCGGACAGAAAATCCTAAAATAAGATCCTGTTAAGGTTATAGTATGAACTGTTCTAATTTTGGCGGATTTAATAGAAGGTGTGTTTATCCGTTATCACTACATAATCCATACTTCCTTATGACTAAGCCATACAATTCCGATGTCATTTGAAAATCAGAAGATCACTTTGTTGTTTAGCATTTGTTTCTGTTTTCGAATATAGCTATCACCAGTATCATTATGTTACCTAAAAACATTCAACTATCCTTACGTACACATTATATCACTATACCTCATTCATGTCCAAAACCTAGTCGTCTGTTTTCACCATGTCGTATTGACGCCATTTAAATATTTTTTGACAGTCACCATGCTTTATCGTATTATGCGTTGAAGGCTTCCATGATTTAGTTCAACACCCTGGAATGTAGGTACTCCTGGTAGGACAACTTCTATATTCTTGAACAATTTATATACACAACCACTGTATACTCACATGACCTTGCCATGACAACTTTGCAGAAGAAATGAAAAGAAAGTTCCTCCTTCAGGTAACACGAGACATTTACGCATATTATTAAATGTCATTGTTGATATGCATGGTTTATTCACACAAGTGGAGTAGTTTCTTTGTACATTGACACTCTAAACCATGTTTTTCTCAATTTATACAATGTATAGAGGCTTGATCAAGACTGGTTTCAAACATATGAATATTGTCTCTGTATTTCAGAATAAAGGTAACGTTGATAGTTATGTGATATACAGCGAGAAAAAGTTATTACTGTTTATCCTTACGTAATAATGTATTATAATTATATATCTTTTAACATGCAAATGCAGTCTTAAATTTGCAATCAGCAGGACATTTAAATCGTATCAAACGGTCTACGTTTTCTGTTCCAGCTGATAGCCTGTTATCTACATACAGTGTGTATTGAAAAGTGTCGGACCGAACTTAAATCAGTCTTGTGTTGTTATATAAGTTATGTGGCTGTCTTCAATTATCAATATCGAAGACTCCTTTGAATTCGAATCGTTTCGTCTGTCCCTGCCTACCAATACGAAAAATATGCTTTATCTTGTATGAAAGTGTTGGTATGTTTTTTGGGGTGGATTTTAGCTTAACATGTATAAATACATGGATAAATGCTTATAACAATATTTGACATTGATTCTATTATACGTTGTGTTCATAACAAATTATAATAACCACTGTGTCTTTTTAAAATTTTCATTTTTGTTGGAAGGGGAGTGTTTTGTTTTGTTTTAACACATTTAATGCTCATGTTACGGTCGATAAACAAGTTTTGATTGTGATATTGTTGTGGTTGGTGGTAAAATAGACAACATTCATCCTTATTGTTTTGTTTTGAAGACAGACAAACAAGAGTACCACCAACGGTACAAAGCTCGCTTCGCGTTTTTTCCCACTAGTATTAGGGGTGGGTTTGCCAATGGAGGTATAATAAAATTTTAGAAGGGAGCATTGCAGTATCTTTTGAACAATTTATGCTTTATGAAAAATATGATTTAAATGGAAAAAACTGTTCATATTATTATATAATTAATTATATATTGATATTTTGTAATTGTCATATACTGCACATTATCTAGGAGTTATTTCCAGTAAAACAAATCCAGGAGTAATTTTGTATATAATTTTCTATTAAGATTATGAGAAAAATATACATAGGCTTGGTTTTTGAATCAGAGTTGAAATTGTCATTTGCTAAGAAATTGTAAATGAGTTTTTTTTTCAAAATTAGGAATAAAGTGGCTAGAATGCCAACAATGGTTTATAAAAATAGTAATGATGAACTTGACCCACGAACTCCGAAATTCAATCTTGTCCCGAGATATTACTGTCAGAAGTTTGATGAGAATCCCTCATGGAAGTTGTTAGAGTGTCAACAAAGTCTTTGGTCCTATGCAGTTTGGTGTTACGTACATACAAACACAGACGGACGGATGGACGAAAACTCTATCCCCTGCTCCCTCTTCTTTCCCAAACAGGGGACAGATTATCCAGTTGTGGCAGCTTTACGTGTGCAAGGCACGTTATTGGTTACCTGTTACATTACAATAGCCATTCCGACTCCAAGAAGTAATATTTAACCCCTACAGTAACTCTAAAACCAAATATCAGAACCCTAGAACAATTATAATTTCATTCCTATTCGGTAGTAAATAAGAAATAACAGATGCTCCTTGATGAAGGAAATGTTGGCGAATCATTTCAGTTCGAGGTCAATAGAACTAGAAACGATTTGACTTAAGTTGTGAATAATTTGTAGAGAAAATTGCTAGCTCTAAATAGTGATGTTGTGGATTTAAGTCAAAAACTTAATAGTTAAATATCATTAAAAGAGCAATTATTCCTACAATTTTGGTATACGTGATACGATATGTAAAACAGAGATATGCACTTTATTTTTAGTAACACTTTCGAGCCCTTTAGGACAAAACAGTTGTATAAGTAGTTCAATATTTGGCGTAATTAACATACCTTGTTTCATCTCATTTTAACAGAGAGAGAGAGAAACAGAAGACTCACAAAAATGATATAAACATAGATACCAATAAGATGGCGAACACTATTGACAAGTATTAAAGCAAGAAAGAATTGAAAATTTAACGCTGTCCTGAAGAATTGGATACGTGACGAAAAAGACAAAAATTGAAGGACGATAGATTAAATGGGTAACACGTGACACATAGATAAGTGGAAACCAATGCCTTTGTGGGCCTCGTATCCCTTTATTTCAAAGATTTACACTTATCACAGAAACAATAAGGGGAGTAATAAAATACATAACAGAGCGAACGAAACATGAGCTACAAATAGATATTTATCTACAACATATAACGTACAAGAATGTTTACATAACTAAGATTCAAGGCTATTTACACAGGTGTGGAAATTTGATCGCTAAATCGCTAAACAATTTGCCAAACTCATTAAAGATTTATATATATATTTAGCATAAAATTGACGTAAAAGGAATATTTCTTTTATTCAATAAAGTATATAACGCTCACTACAATACAAAGTAACTGTACGAACAAATTGTAAAACAAATTAGTGAACTAAAGTTAAACTTTGTAAACTTATTTCATATACAAGTTCATTAGTGACTATACAGTGTGTTTGCAAATCGTCCAATCAATGTATACATACATATTTTAAGAGTACTGTAAATCATTTATATTAAGCATTAATGTACCAGGAGTGTCAAGCGCGAATTCAGATCTTTCGCAATTAGTAATATATAAATAATGATGACATACATATAGATTTTTAACAATATCGGAGCCTTGCACAGTTCTGCGCTCTAATAGAACAACATTCCTTAATTTTAGGTCAACTCTATGTCAGGTTCACAAAATCACGTATTCACAAATATGTCTAAGAGATACGTTCGCGAAATAAAATACTCGCGAAGTCCAAGTGATTTACAGTAAATAACTTACAATTCCTTAACATTTCAGCATCATTTATCATGTGACAACAAATAACTTGGTACATACAACATAACATAGGGCGTGGTCACCTGATTTCTTGCATCTTTATATCATGAAACTCACCGAATAAATTATATTATCATTTTAATCAATCGAATACAATAAACGATGTATTTTTTTGTTTTCTTTTATCATACAATATCAAAGTAGAAACAATGATAATTACGGACATACCAAATTTCTCCAGGCACAGTTTTTTTAACGTGCCATATTTACACACCTACACATGACAAGGTAAAAGGAGATTTCATTGAATCGTTCTCTCTTTATGTCAGGTTTTAGTAGCTGTTCGATTTCCTGATTTTACGAGATACAGCATTATCTGTCCGACCTTTTATCAGGTATCCACCGCAGCAGGGCGTCTCCATCCGTCAAAGCTAACATAATGAACATATTATCTCTGATGTAAAACTATACAGTGTAGGCTGCATTGCCAAGTGCTTCCCAAATTTAGACCCATTGAACACTTCGGTAAAACAATGATATCAACGTTCTTATAAATCTGTTTCGTTATTGTTGTTAATATAAAATTTGATTTTAACATGTTTCCATGGTCAGGCAGACATTTGTAAAGCACCTAGAAAAAGGTAACATTCCCTTTACAAGAAAGTGATGCATGGTATAAATGCTTACAAGCTAATGGATATTCCCGCCAAGGTTTTGACATTTCTTTAGATAATTTTATTTCTTCTGTCAACTTGTAGTTTTTACATATAAGACGACATTTCTGTATGACACATTTAACCTTATCCTTTGACTTTATTGTATCTAATTCTAAAATTAGATTTGGTCATACATTTGTGTCTTTTTTGTAGAACAGTCATACAAAGCTAAACATTTTTATAATACCTTGTTCCAGTAACATGCAATCCCAGGTATGCTTGTTACAGATGGGTGTCGGACGATGTAGGTTGTTCATCAGCGTTTCTAAACTTGTACACTTTCACGGTTCCGTCCAGAAAACCCAGCCACATCTCGTCACCTGTCATGGAGATGGACCTCGGTTCACTCTCCTGTTTTGGCAGGAGGGTCTGCAAGGTGACGAAATCTATGGACAGTAACTGTACAGATCTGGTATAGGCCTCACAAATGATAATATTCTCTGAAGAATCGAAGATGAAATCGTCAATGATAAAGCTCCAACCATTTTTGTAGGTAGTCGCATCAAATGTATACTCCCCAAGTATGATCTTGCCATGGCCTAGATATCGGGACTTTAACGTAAGATCTGCATTCAGTAGAACCAGGTGATTGACGTCCTTGGCTGTAAAATTGGTCACGCCTATAACGC